TGTCGAGTTGAAGGCTACAACAAGTGTTTTCTTCTTTTCACGTAAAAGATTTTGCATAAATTCTGCTTCATATGAATATAAAAATAAGTCTGCTAATAACGGAGTGCAATTTGTACCCTTGTGAATTCCAATAGATTGTTGGAATACCTGGTCTCCAAAAACCACATAGATATTGTCAATCAGAAACTCAAGCATCTTCTTGATGTCAACTTCAGAGTACTTATGTGTGCAATCAGAATCTGTTTTAACATAATAATTTTTCAGATGACCAATGACGAGGTAAGTAAATTCATGAGTTCCATTTTTGTTGCAGAAGCAGCTGTCAATGATATCAGAAAGCCTGGATTTTTATTTGTCGTGGGGAATTGTTGTGTATAAAGTTGAAAAGTCGTAAGTTTTTATGCTGTTGATTTTTGTAAAGTCTTGTGATTTCAAATTGTCCAAAAGTTCTTTAGAATTTTTATGTATCCACATCTGATTTACACCACTTCTTGAATATATAGTTGTAAAGTACTCTTGAGGTTTTTCCTTTACTACTGTCAATATTTTAGTGAGAAGTAACGAAAGAGGCTTGGTTGAACATTTACTGGAACCTGCAATGTATCTTTGTTTGTAAGGATTCTTATGAAGTTTCGGAATCCAATATATATAAGGTAGTTCAAATTCATTTTGGCTCTGTGGAATATTAAAAGTATTCAAAACTGATAGGCGATTTTGAAGAATGTCTTCCTTAGAAAGAGAAGTATATGCATAAGTAGGATTACCACTTGTAGAATTAAAGTTCTAGTTCTTCTAGAATGCAATTTATATAATGAGCCTTACAAACGAAGACAATTTTGTTACCTGCTTTGTCGGCAGGAACCAGTACGTACTGATCGTGTAATCTATCTAATTCTTTTTTCACTTCTGGTTTATTGAACACAGAAGGGTAAATGGTTTTCATTTTGCCCCTCAATCTTTTAATACGTGACTTTAACATGGATCTGATACATTTAATCCATTCTGACAAGGTGTCAATGTCTTCTTTTTCATATCTAGCTCATCGTCTGGCTAGAATAATAAATAAACACTTACAATGTCAACATTTCAGCAGCAACATCTTAAATCCTTAGACTATTCTGTATATATTCTAATTACATCTTGTTCTTGTAAAACAAAGAAAGTTCTGGCCTTGCAACGATGCTCTTTTGTTGATTGTCATCTCCCTTGGGTGATGACACATTAAGATTGTATGCCGGAAGTGAAGTCAAATTGTAAGCTTCCATTAATCTTTGTTTTCCAAGTAGCCTTTAAACTGGTTTTCTTTTAGAAGAACTAGAGTAGGAGTGTGTGATCAACTTTCGGTTTAGGCTGATTTGAACGCCAAGGAAAATTTAGAAAAGAAGTACGATGCTTATAAATATCAATAGTTTCGGAGTGTCGTATATATATTGAATGATCCTCAATAGTATGCCTTATTAAATTTGTAAGCCTTACAAGGAGAATGCACAATGATGTGACTTCTATATATAGATTTGTTGACGCTAGGGGAAAATGGCATTCTATACTTAGAGGTAGCGTCGATATGAGGATCACGTGACCTGGTGTACACATTGGAGAACTGGTTCTCTTTAATCGGATTTATTAAATTGATTCCTATTAATCAATTTATTAAATCAATTCCTGTGAAACTTTTATGATTAGCTGCTTTTAAATGAATGATAAGTATTGTTGATAATGCCGTATTGTGTTAAGTTAATATAGTTCAAGGAAAGTGTTTGAATTTAATAAACGAAGCACAAATACTGCTAGAATGAAATTTCACCATAAATCGCCTTTGGTGCTCTTGCAGACGTCCATGCTTTCTATATCTATACTGCAGCCAAAAGAAACTGCGTACTTTACTGTGGAGTTCGCTGAATAAGTCATTGGGGAACTTCAGGTGTAATAATCCATATATTGCATTGCATTAAAATATTTCTTTTTCTGTTTTATTTCTTTGAAATTATTGATACCTAAGAGATGACATTTCCGCTTTCTGGAAAGCCAAACTTTTGTTCCTTCTAAACTTGAGTAGTAGAGATTTATGACGTCATTAGAAAACAAGTCTTAATATTTTTTGTGCTGTTCATATAGCATTTATGGTTTGTTATAACAGTTTTTCCTAGAAATCCCCATATGCAGCCTTAACTCACTTGCGTATTTGAGCACACCCTTGATCTTAAACATAAAACACGTCTTTTAATTCTTATACACCGTTCTATCTTTAATTAGTTGCTCATTTTACATTTGAGGTTGCGCTCTATATTAAAATTTTGAAAAATAGCTTTCAAAAGTGCTGCTTTTGTAAACTTTGTTTTACAGAAAATGAGGAAATTGACGCATTTAGTGACATCATAATGCATTAACTAGCCAGAAAATTACCTCATTTTTAAAGACATGAAATAAACAAAGGTCTTAATGACATTTAATGCACTGTTTACTTTAATTAAGCCTTTTCAATTTTTCAGAAATTCAAAGGACTAAAACAAATAAGTAAACTTTTTTTTCTCATATAATTCTTTTTAATATAGAATAAAGAGTTCATGAACAATCACAAATAAGCAGGGATATTTCCAATCCACTGTTACGCTATACCATGTACATGTAACGCAGCATTTGACGTAAAAAATGGTGCAATCTCTTTTGCTTTTGAAAAGACAGTTGGATGGCGTAATAATAATGGTAGCTAATCAAAAAAATAATGTAAATAAAGGAAAATGAGTATTAATGTTGACTTCCCCAAATATTCTGGCTTGAGGCGCCGTGGTTCAAATCTCATGAATCATCAAAAATCTAATTCATTTCTAAATTATTTAATTTTTCAAATCTCGTGCAAGCTAAAAGATATAAAACCTCAGGGATAATGGAGTATTTTATTTCAATTTACATTAGCTAATTGTCATTCAAGATATTTTGTTTACGTAGGTTTCTATATCTAATACATAAGCTAAAGAGAAATCCGAAATAACAGCATGTGACTACTGCTCGGCAATATTGCTAGGGTATTGTTAAGGGAAGGATATGGAAAAAAACGAACAGTTTTCAATCTCAACGTCCATTAAACAAATATACAAAATAAGAGCAGACCAAACACGGACCTTCAAAACATCCATCAGAGGTGGGATCAAGTGCCATGGAGGAGTGAGCATCCCCTGCCGACCGGTCACACCCGCCGTGTGTTCATTGTCATAATCAGGAAATAACGGAAAAAAATCCGTGGTCAATTCAGTGTATAAATAATGGACTAACAATGGGTATGAAACACGTCAGTCACCATTTCATTCAATGATAAATTGTATTTGCTGACAAGGTCATTGTATCGACCACAGAATCCACGAAATGATGATTTTAAACGAGACTGTCGACGCCCACGTCCCATCAACTTGCCTGCCAATAATTTACCTCGTTTAAGAAATTGTTCATACGTAGAGCATGCTCTTGCGTATCGAATCAACTTTCTAACTTTCTAACTTTCTAATAAGTCAAATGATGACTGACGTTTTTGAAATCATTTGTTAATCCATTATTTATAAACTGAATTGACGGATTTTTCCACTTATCCCCAATCATGACAGGGAGCACATGACGGGTGCGACCAGTCAGCAGGCGATGTTCACTCCTTCAAGCTACCTTATCCCATCTCAGATGTTTTGGAGAACATTGTTTGCTCTGCTACTTTTTTGTATTGTTTTATGGGTTTTTGATCTTGAATGTAGTTCGTTACTCCCCAATGTTTCATTTATCATTCAACTCTTTAATTGGCGTAGTCTGCTCGCACAAAATTAATGAAGTTGTACAAATTAAAAACAAATATAAATTAAATTTATTATCGATTTTACTTTTTATAGAGATACATGACCAATAAAGGATTAATCTTTGGGGAAAAAACAGGACCATTGCATATTTTTTTCAAACAAATATGTTTATGGCAGAGTTGTGCATCTTTGTTACTAATGTTGAAACAGAATTAATGGGATCGGAAACAAGTTTAATCAACTGAGAATGCTTATCGACAAAAAATGAATGAAATATACATTGTACATATACTAATACACGCACTAAACAATCTAAGAATATACAATAAAAACAAAAACAAAGTAAAAACGCAAAGTAATTAGAAGGGAGTGGGGGAACAAAAGTAGAAAATAAGGTTTTTCAATAAAATACATTTTTAATTTTTTTTACAATGGATGTTTGAAGGAATTGAATACTTTAAGCATCACGAATTTTTTTTGTATTATGATAAATATATTTCTTCTTGCATTCCACGTTTCATTTCCAAGATTTACTTGTACATCTCTGTTATCAATGGTAAAATAATTGAAATTTTGAAATATTCTAAAAGTAAAGTTCATCTTTTTAGGATGATCAATATATATTATTATAACAGTAACTTGATCCGAAGGGGCGTATCACGTTGAGTTGACAGGCATGGATCATCAAATCTAACGAGACGCGAAGCGTCGAGTTTGATTTGATGATCCGCGCCTGTCAACGAGACGTGATACGGCTCTTCGGATGAAGTTACTGTTATAATGATAAATTCATTTTATACCCCCTTATAACTAACTAAATATAACAGAATAAGACTTTAGAGATCGATTGTATAATATTCATACATAAAACAAAGCATAATAATAATGGAATTTTCAACGTACAAGAAAAATAACGTCATGTTTATGCATACTACGTCATCAGTTTCAGAAAGTGGTGATATGGATTCAGAAAACCACAGTGTGGTTATCCGGAAAATCGGATCAAACTCTGTAAAATTAACAGTAACAAAAACAAGGAAATTGATGGGTATATAATAAAAGTAGTTATGCATGGTTTACGATAAGTAATATCTTCGATTTGCTTGCTCGTTCCGGTACATGTAAATAAAGACCTGGAAACTCCCGTTTCTTTGATTTTGAGTAGGATGTTTCTGGTCTTTTAATACCTCCTTCTTTGCACGGGATATGTTCTTCTTGTTCGGCCTATTTGGATGTTCCCGACCCTCTGGCATCTTCTTTGCATTCTTGCTCTGAATCACCTTTTGTCTCCTCTAGATCAAATTTAGGTGGATTACCGAATTGACATTCCAATGTACTTTCATTTAAAGTACCAGCGTGAAAAGGTTGGAGATAATAATGTTTGGAACTCGGAAACTTTCTCAAATGTTGTAGCTTTTCGGTGTCTGGTAATCGAAAAAATACAATCCCTTTTTTAATCTTTAAACTTTCAGATATGCTATCATTTAATGTTTCGAGCACTTTTACACGCCTTTCAAGTTCACGTTTGTTATCAGCAAAGGACTCCCGTATCAGCTGTTCATCTTTTCGTAAAGAGTGTATCATTGTTTCCTTGATATTTATTGCTTTTCCAAGTAGTTTTTTTGTGTGATCTTCTATGTTTTCCTGAACTTTGTCAGTCTTCTTCGAAAGCTCTTCCATTTTTGCATTTTCCTTTGATATCAATTCTTGATACTTGGGTATGAGCACTGTCTGGATTTCTTTCTTTACTTGCTTCATTTTAGATACTAGACTTGGATACACGTTTTCCAGTTTTTCCAATTTATGTTCGTTGTGATCTGCTACAAAACACTCAGAGCAAATAGGCTTTTGACATTCTCGGCAGTTAAATTCCAGCCTTCTTGTTCTGTGCACAGGACAATAAAGGTGTTCCGTTGTGTTACTAGTATAGGTGGACATGTTTATTATGTCATGATGTTTAGTAAGATTTCTTGTCATGTGATCTGCCTTACATGCTTCACAAAGATAACAAATGCATACTGTGCACTGAAAATTTGCTGCAGCTGGATTTTCCGTACAGTTGTTACAAGGGGTGGGTGTCTGTGGAGAACCGTTGTTTGTTGCCATTGTAAAGCCTGTAAAAAAATTATTTATCATAGTCATTTGTCATCAATTGTTAAACTTCTGCATCGAAGACAACTCACACTTTATAGCAAGATTTAAGAAGTTTCTAGTATGCCGGTCCCCAGAATCACGCGATTGCGCATGAGCAGTTATTTCCCTTGCTGTTGCTATGCAGAGTGTAAAGCAACCGCAATTTCCCACTTGCTTCGACAAAACGCATCCACTCGAGTGGTAAGGGTTAGGATATAGGCCCAATAGTTTTTAAAATTGAAGTTGTTTTATAAATCCACTCTGTAATCTTTCTGACTTTGGGCTTATTTATGTAATTTTTGCTTTATACAAAAGTCAATATGAGTGCCTTTTGTGACCAAACACTTGCATGAATCAGCCTGTCGAATCGTGCCAATATCTTACAAATTGGTTTAGTTCATGAAATTTTTGCTTTACAAAGGAAAGTTTAAGAAATGAAAGTTCAAGAAATGAAAGTTCGGCCAAATCAACTCTACTGTCGAAACATTGCGATTTTCAGCGCTGAGTTTAGGCAAGTTATTGTAGAAGCGACTTACCACCGTTAACTGCAGCTCGATATCCTGACCTCCTAATCATGTCCAAATATTCAGAATTCCTTTCAAATCGATAATGATGGACAATTCAATCCATTGACGACTAGTAATTAGCTAACATTTGTTAAATCCCTGTATTTCTTACAAAAATCACGCAATTTTAATTGCATTGCACTTTGAGTCCTATCAGGCATTTCTTCATTACATCAAAACACAATTGACGCATCTCATGAATATTTATGAGATTACGTCAAAAATTGATCATGTGATTACAAGCCTAAACAACACAAGATGGAGATTTACTTCCTAAACAAGTACGTTATTTTACGAAATCTTTAATTCTCATTTAAAAGACTGTGTTTAAAAACCAGTTTTTTCAGCCAAATTTTTCACAAGAACACGAATTTGGGATCAAATATGCAATTTGTGGCTTCTTTTTCGATTTTGTCGAACGCTCACGCGATTGTCTATATATTTTACACCGCTTTCGGCGGCACCTATTTAAGCGCCATATTTATAGGGACCTGTAAACTAGAAGTGTTCCAAAGATTTATATGACGCTTATTTTGTGTAGTACATCTGCTTTTAAGGGAAATCACGCATGTTTATTATGCAAGGAAATGTTTTATACATGTTTATATACAAAATATAACAATCAGCGTAAAATAATGTCTCATAGTAAAAATCAAGAAATACGCGGACCAATCCTTTTATGAATAAAGCCTGCCTTCTTTTTAAAACAATTATTAATTCACTCTTTCAGGTGTTTGTTAGTGTTTTTATCACATCTTTATGTAAATATAATTATGTACAATGATGAATTATTTTCAAGATGAAAAGTAGCGCGGCGCTGTTGTAAACACTGTGCATAGCCCGAAGAAATAAATATCATAATGGAATAATAATAATAATAATGGAATAATAATAATAATAATAATAATAATGGAATAATAATAATAATGGAATAATAATAATGATAATAATGATAATAATAATAATAATAATAATAATAATAATAATAATAATAATAATAATAATAAAAATTATTATTATTATTTTTATTATTATTATTATTATTATTATTATTATTATTATTATTATTATTATTATTATTAATATTATTATTATTAATATTATTATAATAATAATAATTGATTGTAAACTGTTTAATGTCCCTTTTCAGAATATTTCACTGATATAGAGACGTCACAACTGCCAGTGAAGGGCTGCAAATTTTGGCCTATGCTGGCACTTACGGCCTTTGAGCATCCGAAGGACCCCCCCCCCCCCATTTATTAGCCTTTTACGATACGCAAGGGGGTACTGAGGACCTATTCTAACCCGGATCCCCACTTGGCTAATTATAATTGAAGACAAAGCTCTGATTAATTATGTAATGAAAATTGTTATGATAAGGAAATAATAAAACTGCGTCGAAATTTCATAGCTAAGGTTGATATATTTTATTTTTTAGCAAGAAGATATTATTTACACATAAAGGTTTAAAAAGTGTTTTTTATGGAAAATATAACTTGGAATTTTGCAACAGTTAAGACCATTGTTGTAAAAAAAATACCTTGAAGGCGTTGCTGTCCTCAGGAATACTTTTTTCCCTTTATGATACGAAAACTTCTACATTTAAAAAAATCTTCAAGTAGAATTTATATCAGTTCTTTGAATCTCAAATTTATTTATTTGTGTGCAAATTGAAATTGGATTGTAATAGTCTCAAATGTGAAAAATCGGTTTGAATACAAACTAATGTTATAGATAGTCGCTAAGCAACTTGGAGGCGCTAAAGGAACTTGTTCATTTTTTTTTCAGGCTATGGAACGTGCCAAACAGAGAGTCTCTATTGTAATTGTTGGTAATTCGAACCAGCATAAGTTTGTTTCTGGTTCATTCTTACTCATACATTTGATATTTCCTGTCTAGGAGGGAGAATATTTTTTAGCAATTACTGTCAGCTCAATACCTATCTTTGTTATATATCAAGTATTAAATCTATATCCAAGGCCAGTGTACTCAGTGATCGTCCAAGATTGTATTAAATTTGTTTTAAATGAGAATTATGAACATTAATCATACACTTTCATGTAATTATTAAAGACGATGAAGACAAATAATACTTCTTAAAATCATTTATTTTGATTTGGCGATTGTGGCCACGACCTACATAATACAATATATATTTTAATAATCGTTATAACATAACTCCTTATAAACCTTATATCCTTATCCTTATAAACCTTATCCTTATAAACCTTATATCCTTATCCCTATAAACCTTATATCCTTATCCTTATAAATTTTATATCCTTATCCTTATAAACATTGTATCCTTATCCTTATAAAGTCATGAAGATTTGAATACTGACAACATTCAAGCTGGTACTGGGTTAGCAGATACTCAGCAGAAGTTGTGAAAAAAATAATTGTATCATGGAAAGCGTCTCAAAAAACCGCAGTGACTCTCCTTCACATCTCTTTATATGCAGGTCGTGACGAATGGAATTTCTATCACAAGTGTAACTGTCCAAACCAATGTCTCTCACATTTCACATGACACAATTCAAGGTTGCCTGAAAATATTCAGAAAACTACGGCAGAAAAATGCATTGGCAAAATAGATTAACTTGACAAATGCATATAAGTATTGGATATATGCCGAATACAGTTCTGTATTAAAAAATATCAGACAGTTTGAGGCCCGTTAGGACCGAAAACTGTCTGATATTTTTTAATACAGAATTGTATGAGGCATATATCGTACTTAAAACATTGCTTTTGAGTTACCTGAGACAGTCCGATATTAGAACAAAAGATAATGGTGTTAATGACCACTGAAGCAGCAGGCTTAAATGAAAAGTACTCAGTATTTAGGGAATTGACTACACTGAAGAAAGTATTTGAATGAATTTGAAAAGGAGAGTGGGGACAAAATTGTTCTTCATTAAAACATACACGGAAATTAAATCAACGCAACGAATTATAATACAATCTAGTGAATGATGAATTTGGAATGAAGGGAAATTGACGATATGAATATCGATATATCGATATGAATATTTACAGAAAATTATGCAGATGCTAAAGGTACACTAGTCCATTTCATTTTTTATGATAAGCGTCTACATATATCTATGTTTTTGATGTTTCATAATACTGAAAAAAACAAATATAATCAATAATCCAGGAGTTTTGAGGGAAACTTTCAAAATTTGTTGTGAATCTTTCAAATTGAGTATTAATTATCATATACTAAGCCTAGTTAACTTGATTTTGCATCTATATGCATTTTCCTTCTATTAAGAAAAATGACATTTGTGTTTTGTTATGAATTTATTTTTTGGGCTTTGAAAGTTTATTTTCTTCTCTGGTGACCCCCAGTGTGCCCACTCTTTTTCAAAAACAAGAGAAAGGGGTTGAAACACTTTTCCAATTTTAGTTTATTAGAAGTTTACCAGTTTTTATGGGTTTTTTATGCTTGTTTTTACTTTGCATTATCTGGTCTGCCGCATGTTCTTCTTCCTATATTACAGTATATTTGATGTAAATTAAAGTTTAATTTTTTTTTTTTTTGCAATTCTGTAAGTGCAGTGTTTCTAAATCATAATGTGAGAAATTTAAACTGTTGTTTGTTAAATTATCACACTTTTTATTTCTTTTGTTCAGTAGCAGTCCAATTTTGAAGGATATCAGTACTGAAACAGTCTGATATTACGATTAATATCAGACTGCTCACTAATATCGGACTGCCACAGGTAAATTTTTAGACTGCAAGAACAAAGGAATGACATCACAGCAATGTTTTAAATCATATTATATAGATATACTTGATGTTATAAATAAGGGGAATGGGGGGGGGGTGGGATTTTTAAGCTAAGAGACAAACAACACCCACCTCTCAATCCAACTGTAACAAATATTGTGACGTCAAAATTTAACAACAATAACGTCATCTATGGCAGGGCATTACGCGCACAAATCCATGGCGCGGATCTGAGACGTAGTATTAACCATCGCTATAATAATTGGATTTATTTCAAAAAGGAAATAAATCTTATTATTAAAGACGATGAAGACATATCATTTATTTTGATTTGGCGATTGTGGCCACGACCTACATAATACAATATATATTTTAATAATCGTTATAACATAACGCCTTATAAACCTTATATCCTTATCCTTATAAACCTTATCCTTATAAACCTTATATCCTTATCCTAATAAACTTTATATCCTTATCCTTTTTAACATTGTATCCTTATAAACATTGTATCCTTATCCTTTATAAAGTCTTGAAGATTTGAATACTGACAACATTCAAGCTGGTACTGGGTTAGCAGATACTCAGCAGAAGCTGTGAAAAAAATAATTGTATCATGGAAAGCGTCTCGAAAAACCGCCAAATGGTTGTCCGTTGAAAATGACAACCATCGCCAACGAAGTTAGGTGGAATGAGAGACGCAAAATATATGTAGGTGTGACCACATCTTGAAGCCTAAACTCCGTATGTAACCTTTTATAGAAAAACATATTCTTGCAAAGCCCTTTGTAAGTTATATAGCAAGAAACAATTACCGATGTACGACAGGTGAACTCCATCACTACTAAACATTTCCTTTGAATCCCAAGTAATCTCTGGGTATTTGATAAAGAACCCACCATTGACAGTAACTAAGTGATTCATAAAATTATTGAGTCTAACAGTAGCAAGATTTTGAGATTTTGAGTTTGAACTAAAACGCCATGAAATTCTTGGCAAAATATTTGACCAACCAATTGTTGTGTTGGGTAGTAGCTCCTCAAGTTTTTTGAGAGATGAACACATATTGGACCGTAGTTGCAGCAATGGAATTTTACCTATGTCATTCCCTCCACAATGAATACTTAGAATTTTTGGAGGTGATTCATAACGTAACAAAAGTTTTATTTTTGGAATAAGGTCAAACCATTTCATACCTCCCTTTCCCTGCCAAAAAATTCTGTATTTTCTTCGTTTTAAACCTAAATCCACACCATCAAGGGATTTTCTTGCATAGTAGAATGCCCATTTAATAATTGAAGAACCAACAATCCAAATAACCTTTTCATCTCCTATATAAAAATATGAAAAATCAATCAACAACATACTAAATCCTAATATACCGTTTGAAGGCATCTGAACTCCATCTACCTTGCTTTTTAATTTCTGTTTCTGACTGACCGGAAGAAAAACTATCTGACGCAGCACCAATACGGAATGAGTGAGATTTGTACTTGGAATTTGGAAGACCGGTTATTTCAAGACACTTATTTAATACTGAACAGAATTGAAACCTTGTTAGAGGACTACCATCCATATGTTTAAATAATTGACCGTCAAATTTCGGCCTCATGGTGATGTACCTTTTCAACCAGTCAAATGGACAGATAGAATTCTTTGATTGATTCAAACAAACAGATGTTCCTTTCCCAAGTTGGTCAGTTTTTGAGAAAGGAACTCTAAGCTCTATGAAATTTTCCCCAGATGTTTCATTTTTTCTAAATTTTACATGTTCAATAGAAATAATTTGATTTGCTTGATTTGAACTACTAAAGGTAAATTCACCGATTCTAAGAAAAGAATGATAGGCTACCGAAAATGCCGTTGAAAAAAGAATGGACTCGAAATTCGATGAACAAACTAAATTTGTTGCTGTTATAAGTTTCTCAAGAATGTGTTTTGTAATAGGAAGTCTACAATCTTTGGAATGGTTTGACCTTTTGATTCCTTCCAATCATTTTCTAATTTGAAAGTTTTTTGTATTGTCACAAAAACCCGATATTTTGCATTTGAAACTTATTCCTGATATATAGGATGAAATAGTAGAATGAGCTAAACCTTGCAGGGATAAATGAGCAATAAACATACAAATGTGTGGAACAGGTGGGGGCCAAACAGTACAAAGTTCATACAAAATTCTGAATTGCTCAAAGCTTTTTAGACTTGTGGAATATGTTTGCTTTGTATTTACTGATACCGAATTAAGTGTCAAGCGTTTAATTTCAGTTCCAAGATCAGTTTTACAAAATCTTCTGGAATAGGTGTCGGATCTTGATTGGAGGTGGGGGCAAGAACTCGAAACCTGGTCAACTGTTTGCGAGAAATAGAATCCGCTATAGCATTATCATAACCATCTATATGACAAGCTTTAAAGTAAAAATTGTTTACCATGGAATGTAAAACCAATGGCCGAACCAATTCCATAACTCGAGGAGATTTTGATGATTTTTTGTTTAAAATGGAAACTAAAGCTTTGTTATCAGTATGCAGCATTATTTTTTTGTCTAGAAATTCATTATTAAATAAGAAAATTGCAAGGACAATTGGCACTAACTCTAAAAATGTTATGTCTAACATAATGTCTGGATTCTTCCAGCTATCTGGCCAACCAAAATATGCCCATTGCCCATGAAGGTAAACGCCGCAACCTAAATGTTGATTGCCTGTACTATCATTGTAGAGATGAAGTTGATCATTAGACAACCAATTAACAGCCATGAAATTTAAACTGCCATTAAACCTGCGTATGAAATCTAACCACACAAGAAGGTCAGATGTCATTCCCTTTGTTACTCTAATAAAATGACTTGGGTATTTTATTCCACACATAGCATCACAAAATTTTCTATTAAAGGCCCTAGCAGATGGAATAGCTTTAGCACAACAATTCAGAGAACCTACCAAAGATTGTAATTCTCTAAGCGTAACTTTTGTTTTTTGTAACATATCAAGCAGTAATTTCTCCAGGTCGATAATCTTTTCTTCAGGAATTCGAATAACCATCTTATCTGTATCGATTTCTATACCCAGGAATGTAAGTACCGATTTTGGGCCCTCTGTTTTCTCTTCTGCAAGAGGGATGCCAAAAGCAGAGCAGGTATTTTTGAATGATAACATTAACAGGTTACATGTTTCTAACGTGTACCCAGCAAATATGAAGTCATCTAGGTAATGGTTCAGAGTGTGAACTCCAGTTTTTTCTTCTACTACCCACTGAATAAAATGTGCAAACTTTCCCCATAAAGCACAACTAATTGAACAACCCATTGGTAGACACATATCGTAATAATATTGATCATTAAACTTGAAACGAAGTAATTGATGGTCAGAAGGGTGAACCGGAAGTTATCTAAAAGCTGCTTTCACATCCATTTTTCCCAGATAAGCCCTCTTTCCCAGTGATCCTACCATGTCTAAAACCTCGTCAAAAGAAGTGTATTGAACAGAACAAGCTTCAGGGTCTATGAAATCATTAACACTGAAATTAGAAGGATATGAAAGGTGATGAATGAGACGCCAACCCCCATCCTTTTTTGACACTACTCCAATAGGTGATAGCCTTAAATTGGACAAAGGTTCATGATTGAAAGGACCTGCTATTCGACCCAAAGAAATTTCTTTGTCAATTTTTTCTTTTACCTCTTTTGGGTGATCGTTCACAGAAACTAAATTTTTACAGGTTGTTGACACTCTTGGACCTTCATAATGTAGATAAAAACCTAATTCAAACCCGTTCTTTAATTCCTTAGCTACAGTTTGATTTGGAAAAATTGACAGATAAGGACACATATTATTCAAGTTTATTGGTGTTAAACCTGTTCTTACGAAAGGGGCCTGTTGAAAATTTGCTGCTTGGTTGACGAAATGTTGAGAAGGGGGCATGAAAAGCCCTATAGGACGATGTCCTCTGTACAGCTTGTTTATCAGGACAATGAATTGCAGGATGTTTGTTTTGACACTTTAAACACTGGTGTTGATATTGAAAATTTTGCATGCGACAAGAGCCTTTGTTGTTGTATTCATAACAAAATTTTGAGCTGACCTGAGAATTTTTATATACTGAGTTAGTATTTGGGGTTATTTAAATAAGCCAAAGCTCGGGGTCGATTTTGTCCCAGGAAATACTGATATCTTTGGCTCTTTTCAGTCGAAATTGTCGGTCGTATTCTCTCCAACCTAATCCACCAGAAACTCGACTGGCACCGAGTTTGACATTAGCCATGTATTTGATAAGGCTGTGAGTTTGATCAATATGTGCTGACAAATATATACTCATATAAATAAAAAATTCATCCAGCCAAGTGTCAATTGTTGTAATTTTGATTGTATTTGCAGGTTTTAATGTGAGTTGACCATTTGTAAATAGAACTCTACTCTCCTGTGCATCAATATCTGTTTGCTTATTCAAAAGTGTATGCAATTCTACAAACTCCCCTTTCATGATTTTTTGTTTAACTGACTGTGTAACATGCATACCTAGATCATCATTTACACTGGTTATGCTCTGAGGCATTGAACATGTAGGGGAAATTGTGTCAAAACAAATGACTTGATCTGAATCGGAATTTTGTACATTGTCAGTTGATGTAATAGGTGTACTAGAGACTTTGCTACCTTCAGTCGATGACGATGGTGTGTCGAGCCGTTGAGATATGATCGTCTCTATCCTCTTGTTAATTTCAGGTAGCATCTTTTCCGCTACTAAAGAAACAACTTCCTCAAGATCTGGCATTGCCTCCTTGATTGTATCGGGATCCGAGTTTGGAGTTGGGTCTGAGTTATTTACTTTCTGACGTCTTTTCTTTACGCCCGGAAGTCTGGCCTTCCCTGCAAATTTCCTTTTACCGTTCGTTGCCGTTGGCCTCCCTCCTTCGTCAGTTGAGTGTGACTTTTGTCGTGGTTGCATCTCTCAAAATACGATATAAATATATTTTAACTCTGATGTATAAAGCAAATTGAATATGATCTAAAAGCAGTTATTAAAAAACAATGTCGGTACTGAACTTGTCAGAAGGACTAAAATATGTTTAAATTCTAAAATATTACAATAACAACACAAATTGTTAATATTTAACCCTGTGCTTAATAAATGAGTAATAAACCAGCGGATTAAATGGCGAAAATTAGCAGTTAAATCAAATTTTTAATCTAAGAGACAAACAATACCTACCTCTCAATCCAACTGTAACAAATATTGTGACGTCAAAATTTAACAACAATAACGTCATCTATGGCAGGGCATTACGCGCACAAATCCATGGCGCGGATCGGAGACGTAGTATTAACCATCGCTATAATAATTGGATTTATTTCAAAAAGGAAATAAATCTTATTATGTCGAGAGATAGAACAGTATATAAACTCAAAAGTCCCATCACGTTTCAAAATAGAAGCGGGGCAAAGAAGGTTTTCCCTGTGTGGTGGAGACTGGAGTTTTAATGTGTTAAAACAGCAAGAGAGACACAACCTCAATCTACTCTGTGCGAAAGAAGATGATCCCTGGTATGAGTAATTGCCAATTAACGTCTTCAGACTGATTATTTATCCTGTTAACTTTAAAACAGGAAGTTGTAGAGGCATGTCGTCAGCTGCAATGTCAACTACATTGCGCTCATTGATATTTAATTTCTTGCTCTTTGCCCTTGAATACTTTATTCAAGGTCAACATATGTTTCATTTACGAAGTTATTACTTTGAGGAATTTTATTAAAAAATAAGGTATCATTTTTAAACATCTATCGGGATATAAATACGGAAGGGCTTTATGAAAAATTTAATCTCGTACCGACCCGTATTTATAGCCCGATAGATGTTTTAAAATAATACCTTATTACTTATATTTACATTTGTGACTAAGTCATACTTATATTCCCCTAATTGTGACTTTTAATGTGTGAAATGCATTATTTTTCAAACCCAACGGCATGTATGTGATTCACTGAACGCGCGTCGACCCTTTATGACGTCACTGAGAAATTACGTCAAACGATTATTCAAACGCACGTTTGTGACCTCTTGACCACATACCTGTATTTATACAGTTATAGATACTTATTCCTTTCAGTAGTGTTATATAAAGGAAAACATTTGCAAATGTAAATATTTTTCTAATAGCAACATAATCAATGAAATTGAATACATAACAGAAATGTAGATGTTGAATACTTGGAATATTTAAATATAAATCCAATGTATTAGTACTAGAATGAGTTTTGATAATAATGTTTTAATTTATTTTATTTCGGTACAAGATGTCACCTCCTTTTTTTTACTTATAAAAAACCTACAAAGTAAAACAATTGTTTTCAATTACCATTATATTTCTTTAGTTACAATGCAACTTTCTACCAAAGTATTTATTGACATCCATATTATTTGGATTTATTATTTTAAATAAACTTCCTCCATAGCCTTCTACGCAATATTTTTGAATAGCTACTGCTTACCAGTAATTATTGTTTAGGGTTTTTTCGCCATTTTTTCGCGGGCAATCCTTTATTTCTATAAAATTCTTAAATTTAATATCAGAATAATAATCACTTGATGGACAGTTAAGGCTAGAGAACTTGGTTCTAATAGGAAGAGAAATCCTTAAACAAGACTACTGATATCCTAGTTTCATCAGTATGTTTTGCTAATAGTTTATCAAGATTTGAAAAAAAAAATCATGCATTAAACATGCTCTTTTTTTATAAAATTAAGTGAGTGATTTAAACCCCGTATGCAGGTAATGAAGGTATTTAGGTGCATACGTAAGGGAAGTTGACAATTGAAAAGTTAAAATCATCTTGTTTTGCATCAAGTTTGGTTGTTAAATTACCATTTATGCCCTTCTCAAGTTAAATCGTAATATAAAACAGATGTTTTAGAAATCATGATATTGTTTATTTCAACCTCACTGGGATATATCAGCGATATAAAAGTTGAAGATAAAAGGTTGGGTACGATGGTTACTAAGTATCAAAAACAAAAACAATTTTGAAATCTTTGTATAAATTATTTTTCTTTCACGGTTTGCCATGCAAGTTTTTTAAACCCTGCCGAAATTTTGTTTTAAAAAGAGAAAGACATTTGAATATTGTGAAAGAATAAAATATATCGATCTTCAAATAGTCTTCAAACTGTATACAAAAAAACTCTGGGGGTCCATATAAGTGTCATTAACATACACTCTCACATCCCCAATTAACACGGTCCCTCAAAAAGAAAAAGAGATTCCTGTCAGTTCCTGTGCACATTGAATCGTTTTTGGTAAATCATCTGTGCATTATATTTCTTTTTAAAATCTAAGAATAAAAACCATTAAAATTTCAAGTCAATTTTTCAATAATGTTTGATTGTCCTTTCCAGACTCAGGATGAAAATAAAGTAAATGCAAAAATTCTTTTTACCAGAAAACTTTAAAACTAATGCTTTTTTAATTTTTGAAATGTATTTTCCATAATGCATAAAATATATCCTTTCCCTCATTTCCTAAATTTTTGAATCGGACAATACTTAATCAGTCATGATAATCAGTCACGGGAATGAAATGTTTTTTTTGGATGAACTTAGGATGTTTTTTAAACATTAAAATAATCGAGTCATTTGTCCTTAGTAAGTAATATTAAGTTTTTTAACTAAGAGTGTAACATTTCGTCAATTTCCCTTGCTTATGCAGCGGTACTTGTATAACTTCAACACCTGAATATGGATTTCATATATCTCAGTTGATTCGATACGCAAGCACATGATCAATGTATGGACAATTTCTAAAAGGAGGTAAATTATTGACAAACAAGTTGATGAAGCAAAAACATCAGCAGTCTTGTTTCAAATTAAAATTTATCATTGATTCAAATGCTGACTGGCGTTTTTTATACTTATTGATTGTGAGTTCATTATAATAATTAATACACTGAATTGACGACCGATTTGTCCATTATTTCCCGATCATGACCAGTAGCAGGTAAAAATGATACAAAATGATAAATTTCTAGAATATATAGAATTTATCAACATTTCGTGGTGTTAAAATTTCTATCTCTCTGAAACCATCCTTAATTATCCACTTCAAATCTCATTTTTGTGAAAACTTTAGTGAAAAAAAAATCTAAGCGGTAAAAAGTATTCATGTAACTCCTTAAAACATGACTCAAGTCTTATTTTCAAATTTCTGGACAAAAGTTTGTTTGTATTATTAAACAAAGATCTTTGTTGCTGGTATGTTTTTTAGTAAAAGAAATATTGGTCTTTTGAAAACTCAAGATCCACTTGCATGAACATGAATCGAGTTATCT